TAAGTACAGATAAGCTAAGGGAAGTGGGACCAGTAAACTCATGAGAGTATATTGTCAAGGAAACTTAAAAAAGAAGTATTTCAAGAGTAAAACTCTTTTTAAAATAAGCTGTCAACCCATTGAAATGCTCGGAAGAATATGAGAACTAAACTTTTTTATCTTTTGGACTTAAGAGATTTAGACCCACAGTGAATTTATTCAGGATGATTTTAGTGAAATGATGGTGGCAAAAACTAAGAAGGCTAAAGAGCTGGTGGGGGTATGTAGTGTCCTGAATAATGTCTCTCACCGAAGATGTCCAAGCCCTAATCTCAGGAATCGGTGAATGTGTTATTTTACACAATGCAAATACTTAGAAGATGTGATTGAGTTGGTGATCGTGAGACAGTAGGATTATCCTGGATGATCCTGGTGTGTTGGCCCAATGTAATCATATGGTTTTTATAAAAGTAAGGTTTATAGGGGTCAGAGTCAGAGAAGGAGATGTAATGAAGCAAACAAGGAGATGTAATAAGGATACTTTGTTCCTGATTTTGAAGATCCTGACGGGAACAGAAGACAAGGAATGTGGGCACCCTCTAGAAGCTGCAGAGGCAGAGAAACAGACTCTCCTCTGGAATGTTCAGAAAGTGTGCAATCCTGCCAAGACCTCAGTCATAGCCCAGTGAAACCCATTTTGAAATTCTGACCACCAGAACTGTAAGTAATAAACTTGTGTAGTTTTAAGCCATTAATTATATTGTGGTAATTTGTTACAACAGCAATAGAAAACTAAGCCAAGGTGGAAAAAAAAGAGTATAAATTATTGCACTGAAAAATATGACATTGAAGCAAGAGAGTGATATCTGTTTAATGAATAGGTTTTATATTTTAATAGGTTAGGCTTGATTGTGAGTAATCATATATTGGTTTGAGAGGGTCTTGTTGATAATATAGACACAAAACATGTAACCAATAGTATACAATTATTGAGAAGGCATAAAGGGATACTATTTATAGGGAGGATTGGCTTTTAATAAGAGATGCCTTCTTTCGTCTTGCACTGTGGAAGTAGAGCTGCTTCCAATGCTTAAACCCTCTTCAGGTGCACACATAACCAGGTGAAGTGAAGAATGCAACATCTAAAACAGAGTCGATCAAATCCTCCTTTATTTTCTAATAAACATTGAACATTCATTCATCTACATATGATGAATGTAAGGAACCAAGCATCATGTTCAAGTTTAAGGAAAGAAGGAGAATAAACAATAATGCTTTCTGCTCACAGGTATTTATGTTTCTAATGGAATTTTTTTAAAAAGCCCCATCATTCTTCCTTGACATTTCATTGGTTTGAGTGATGTCATGCAACTTAATGTAGAGAAGTCACTGGCAGAAAAGAATGAGTTATGGACAACTGCCCCAGAAAAACAGAAGAGGCATAGCTTCCCTGAGAGTAGAGATTCCTACCAGACAGAAGTGTGAGGTTAAATTATCAGCGAAAAAAGGACATATCTGTTGGTGGTAATATGTATGTGTATGTATGTGAATAAATACATTTATACATATAATTATATATGAAAAACATATGTATTACGAATCGATTTAAAATGTTAAGATGGAAGTTACTTCTCTGAATGCACTGTAGTAAAAAATAAAATTCACCTATGTTTTAGAATAACAACCAACAATAAACATAAGCAATATGCCCAAATATATATAGTCATGAATACAAAACTAAAACCACCAAACCCTTCTTCTTGTCTCTTATAGCGTTAGGCTCTCAATTAGTGGTAAATCCACCATATGCTTATTTCCTTCATTTGAGCTTAACTCCTATTGTGTCAAATTTATACAAACAAATTTAATTTTAAATTTACAGAACATATGTTGAGTTAAACTTGGAATCTCCCAGGAGTCCCACGATAAGATAAATATTCAAATTGGTAAAGTAAATTTTCACAACATAACCCCTACTTCTCCTTATTGCATATCCAACCATTTTTGTCCAAGCTGCAGTACGTAAAATACACATTGTATTATCCTAGCCCTGCCAATCACATTATTCTAATTAATATAGGAAAATCTAATGTGAATTGAACCTCAGCTAAAACTGTCACTCTACAAAGAGTTTCTCAAAGTATTTTATGAAGCTTCTGTGGTATAGAACTTCACAATATAAAATAAAATACTAAAATAAAGTCACTTCCTGGAGAAGTAGGCTTTCAGCCTCATTTGATGTATCATCCTTCTTTGAAAAAGGAGAGGAAAAGAAGTAATTATCTTGAATGAGTGAGCAGACTTCTATTTCAGGAGTGATATTGGTGACCTTAGCTTGCCTACGTTCTGAGCAAAAATGAGCTAAGTGCTTCCTTGTGGGAAGGAGCTGGGAAAATAATAAGAAAAGGGCAAGTGAGGGTTGGGGCAGAGAGGAATAGGGGTGGAAGCAAAGAAAAAAGCCATATTTGGGGCTTGCTCAGGAAAATCTCCTTTAAAAATCAGAACATTCTTTCTGATGATAATATATTTCCTTGAATATGGAAGCTGTTGCAGTTGCCAAGAGAATACACTTTTTATACTGTTGTTGAGAGAGCATAGAACGTATCTGTATAAGATCTTTTGATAGCAAGTCCAAGCTGCAGGCAAACTGGCTTGCTATTGAGTTTTATGGGACTGGAAGTTTCTGGGAGATATGGGTATTCTGAGAACCTCTGACAAATATCAATATGGTAATCATAGTGTGGACCCCTAGGGCTTTGGAATAAGGCATGTGTTTTTCAGGAGATAACTATTCTATGTTTGAAAAACATCTCCATGCTTGCTGTTGGGCCCTAACAAAAACCGAATCTTGATGATGAGCATTAAGGGACTGTGAGATCCAAACTGCCCATCATGAGTCTGGCATTATCTGATACTGCAAATCTAACAACACACAATTAAGCAAACAAACAAAAACAGACTAAGAGAGCACCAACATGTTCCCTCTAAAGGATAATCTATGTTTTCTATTAAGTATTTCTATTTCCCTTCATCTTGCCTGTTTGTGTGTGTTTTTCCCTTTTTATCTTATAAGAATAATAATGTTGGCTAGTGCTTCAGTGTAGGTTTTGGGTAGGACTGTAATTACACTGACATCAGCTAATTATAATTTGATAACTGATGGACAGGAAGAACAGTGAGAAACAAGAGGGATGAGCTGTGCTAGATATTTTTATTTTGTATCTCAGATCCAGTCCCCAGTGTTTCCCACTACTTCTTTCCTCCTAAAAGTCATCCTCTATTTAAAGCTTCAAATCAGTTTCCTTAGCTTTTAGTCACTGAATGGGTTCAGAGCTCAGCAATAGCTGCATTCTCTGGGTTCAGAGCTGGAGTGGTAACAGATTTGCATGGCTGCTACTTCCTGAATGTTTCAGCATCCCATGTCACTTCTCTTAACCCTGCCTACATATGTGGAAAAGCCTCTTCCTTTAACTTTCTTTAATAACCTTTTGAGAGTACCATCTGTTTTCTGATCATCTCTAACAGATACAGCTGTTCTGATGCAGCTGTAACAAAATTGTTTGCTAAATAATTTTTAAAAATTCAAGAAGCTGTTCTTATGAATTACATCACATGAGCACTACACATCTCTGAACGTCATGATGTCTCCAAATCACGTCCTATTTCTGTCCCCTTGCTTCCCTCTCTAACCCGTGGCCAGCATTTCTCCACACTATACTTAAAGATTCTCTCCACACCGTTGAGCCCAGTGCTGCTGGAGTCACGGATGTGATGAATTTGTAGCTCAGGAATGGAGTGACAATATTTCTTAGGTATATGACATGACAATTTTAAAAAAGTAAAAACTTAATTTTTCAAGGTCGGAACAAAAGGATCCCAACATCAACTGTGTCTGTGCCAAAGTGGCCACATTCGAATGTCATGTACTATACTTAAATGTATTTCAGTATATTAATATCCAGGACTATGAATAGCTAGGCTAGCTTCTATTATACGTACCATAAAATCAACAAAAGGAAGGTTGCAGCCTTCAATTTTAGAATGTAAGTTTCTCATGGAGAGTGGAATGGCAAGAGGGTTTTGTCTGATGAGAAGACATTTTCTTCGTGGATTCTCTGCTGGTGTGCAAAACCATCATATCACCTTTTTAGTCCTAGAAATGCTTTTATTTACTTTTCAATGTTTATTTGATCTGAACAGTTTGGAATTCGTAAGAATTTGGTCAAGTATACACAAGGAAAAACAAATTTAGAATCAGTGAATAAAAACAGCGAATATAAACTTTTTATGAAGCTGCAGATATAGGTTGAATCCGGATCAATTCTATTTTTGTAAAAGTTTATAACTATTTGTCAGTGTCTTTAAAACAAATATAAGTAAACCTTTGTTTTCCACATTTATTAAACTCTACACCTGTATCTTTCAGGTGAACTTATAAGTTTTGTCTCTAAACGTGTGATCTATAGAAACATGACACAAATGTATGCTTTTTAAGCTGACAGCTGACTGGCTGAAAGTTACGGCTTGATGATACAGGATTTTTGCACCAGAGTTCTAAGTCCTAGCCTGATTTTTCTTTCTTCAAATATTTTCTATCCTTTAATATACAAGTCCAGCTTTGAGGCATAGAGTGATGATAACAACATTATAGGCATAACAACTTCATTGGAATCTTTTCGTTAGAGTGTTTGAGGCAAAGTTTTTTTTTCATAGATACCATTAAAATCAATTCATGTTTCTGTGTAAGGTTGAAAGTGGCCTTTGAATTGACTACAAATAACACTGAAATGGAAAGTTGATCTCAATCCATCTTTTTAAACATAACGTTTTTTATGCTGTCTTTGATCTCTTTTTTATCTTATTTTTTTAGAGTTCTGCATTTGTAAACCATTTTCCTTGGTGCTTGATTTGACACTTTCATAAAACCTAAAAAAAAACTGCTACAATAGAGAAATAATTGCCAGAAACTTTTTTTTCTTCAATGTTGCCATGTTGTGCCCCCTTCAATAATCCAAACTCACCCTTGTTCGTAACATCTCTCACTCTCTCTCTCTCTCTCCCCATCTCTCTCTGTTTCTTTCTCTATCTTAGTCACTCTTGTTCTCACTCCATCACTTCAGTAAAATTTGACTTCTATGGGGAACAAAGTAAAAATGTCATCATGATTGAGTCTTACGGAAAAAAGAGAAACATACTTACTACCGAGATTAATCCCCTCTTGGTAGTGTTCCAGTTAAATTTAGAGCAAATGAGTAAACCAATATTCATTAAAATTCAATACATGCATGAGGCGAGTTGACTAAGAACTATTAATAAACATTTCTTTCTATCACAACGGTTTGAGTTTGAGGGCTAGTACTGTAGCATTAATTGTTAATTTTTCTTAGGATTCATGCTGACATTTGGAGGAATTTTCACCTGATTGATACTTTTGTAAATGTTGACACATCATATAGGAATCCTTCAATAAAATTATATATTGATGTATACAATTATATTGTAGATATATTAATCATAACATCATGTATGCATAATAATGTGTTCATTTTATATAATTGAGTTGTCAATCACACACATGATTTTATCTCTTGTGATTTCACAGATAAAATTTTGTTTAATTTTTAATAATATTAACCACATGCAATATGGTAATCATAGTGTGGTGGTTACCAGGAGTGTGAATTTTAACAGCTGGTAATTACCTGAACTCAATAGAGCCTTACTTCTCTTATTTATCAAAAGGGAATAATGATTCTGATTGTATGGGTTTATGATTATATTTAAATATTAGATTGGTGCAAAATAAATTGCAGTTTTTGTCCTTAAAAGTAATGTCAAAAACCACAATTGCTTTTGCACCAAACTAATACATGATATATGTAGTCAATTTACGCAAAATTCCTTACACATAGTAACCGCAAACCAAATGGCAGTAGTCATGATGGTGGTGGCAGGAGTAGCTTTTGTTTAATTTGTTCTTTTTGCCTTTTCAGCTGTTCCCAAGTGTCATTTAGACATGAAAGAGGCCTACAGTAAAATAAGTATGCTGAATGTTCTGAAATATTTTTCTTACTGCTGTTCTAAAAAAATCACCACAAACTTAGTGGCTTGAAACCACAACACTTTAGCATCTTAGATCTCTGGGTGTTAGCAATCCGAAATGAATCTGACTGGACTCAAATCAAGGTGTTGCCGGGATTGTGTTCCTTTTTAGGATGCCTACGCAGGGAATCTGCTTCTTTGCCTTTTCCAGCTTCTCAAGGCTGCCTACATTCCCTGGCTCCTGTCGCCTTCCTCCATCTTCAAGGCCAACAGACTTGTAACTCTCTGTGCTTTACTTTATAGTCATATCTTCCTGTGACACTCCCTTCTGCTTACCTCTACCACTTTTAAGGGCTCTTGTGATTTCACTGAAGACACCCTCAATGATCCAGGAGAATCTTCTGATCTCAGGATCTGTAACTTAGTCACATCTGAAAATTCACTTTGCTTTGTGACATATTCACGGGTTTTGGGAATTAAGACATGGGCATTGTTGAAGGATAATTCTGCCTAGCTCAAGAGACATCCATCTTTCAAAATAGACCTTATACTCTCTTCTGGTTAATAAGTTAGCTCTCTTCACTAATGAACTTCGTAAATTAAAAATATGTAAATAACTGGCACATATAATTTAAAGAATTATAACAAAATGAAAACATCTACCACTCTGATTAAGAAACACATTTTAAGTGTATTTAAAGCTTACTGTGTAGTACTAACTAATCCAATTTTGCTTTGTTACTCACACCTAGAAGCAATTAGCATGCCAAATTTATCAATGTAAACATTATTTTTATTTTTTCTAGTATACACACACACAAAAATATATAAAAGATATATTTTATTTGTTTTTTCCTATCTTTGAGCTTATATAAATTTGTTTTTGAGTAATATGATTTTCAACATTCATCTATATTGATACAATATAGCTGTATTTTATTTAATGGTAGCATAATATTTTTGTTGGAATACATTGTAATTTATCTTTTCTAATATTGATGAGCATTTTTTTTTATTCCCTTGTTATGATCTACAATATCATGTCAAGCTTATGAACATCTCCTGGTATTCATGAGTGAATATTCCTCAGAGAAGATGTCTAGTATTAGAATTGGTTAATGGAAATATGACATTGCTTAGCATCCTTTTCAACATTTGGTTTTGTCAGACATCTTAACTTCTGAAATGTTCTGGATATTAATCTGCACTGGGATTTTAATTTACAGTTATTTTTATATAATGATATGGTACACTGAATGCTTCTTGCTTCTGCAGTTTTCATTTCCTTTGAAATATCTGTTTATGGATTTTGCCTATTGTACATACTTTTCTTATTTATTCAAAAATTGTTTATAAATTCTGGATACTAATATTTTATCAGTTACAAGCGTTTTAAATACATGTTATTAATCTGAAACTATCTTTTTATTCTCTTCCCTAATAAAGGATCATAAAGTCATTTCCTTGTATTTTAAACTTCTGCCTTTAAAATTTAATCTTTGCTTAGTGATGGAAGCTCACAAAGGCAGGATAGACACTACAAAATATCTTATTCTTAGTCAACAGAGAAATCTTAGGATTTCAAGGCTTCCCTACTAATTTGATTTGTAGGAGGTAAAATGGAAGATTTCTGATTGGAAGTGAATATAGATATTTTACTTTCATTTTTTCACAGCTTAATATACAGAATGCCATGCTACAAAGTGTTGAGTCAAGTGACCTGAGTTAGTGACACACTCTGCAAAATCAGTCAATGGAGTCATTAGCACAAAGATTATGATGTCCTATAAATGGATCAGTTCACCAATGTAAATTTGTAAGGAGGCTGAGAAGAAACATCCAAAGAGAGACAAAAGAGACGAGTCAAAAAAGCCTAACAGTGAGGAAGTTAAGGAAATTTTTATTTCAAGAAGGAGGTTATAGTTTACAACATCAAATACTCCCTGAAGAATAGAAATATTCTTTTGACATAGCAAAAATAAAAAAATAAGCAGTAAAAATTTTGCTAAGAGCTCGCTCAGTGGATGAATAAGGAATAGAATTTGTAATACAGTGATCTAAGCAGCAAATGGAAAAAGAGGAAGCAGATGCAGGGATTTGGGATTTTTTTTTTTTTTGCAAGCTCGGTAATACCAGGGAATAGAGATAGAGAGAAAACCAGAAAGGCTTGAAGTTTAAGAACAAATGGGAGAAGCCTGAGGATTTTTCAAAAGTGCAAGTAGAAAAAGAGAGAAAGACTAGAAAAAATAAAATATGGTCTAATAATTGAAATGAAATTCCTGAAGTAGCATTTATAGGATTCAGAGAACAGGTAGAGGAATTAGCCCCAATCAGGATGATATATTTGTTATCATAATGAGAGAAAGAAATTAGTTATAATACACTGTCACTTTTGTAGATGGGATGTCAGGAATTTAAAGGAGTTCTTATCTGAGTACTTTTATATTTCTGTGAGGTGGGAGACAAGATTTTCAGCTAAGAATGAGTGGGAAGGTAATAGAGTAGGATGGTTGAGATAAGAAATGGTTTGATTAGGTATTATGGAAAACTGAGAAAAATCTTATCAGAACTGAGAAGAATTGATGAGCAGTGTAAATGACTCCATTGTGGTCAGAGAACATTACATGGTGGAGGCAATTTTCTGAGGGTTTTGTGATTTTTCTCCAGTCAGATTCAACTGCCTAGGTTTAAGAACAAAGACATCAGTCAGTTGGATTGCTCTAGCTTAGGGTTTGCTAGCTGGGTTCAAAGAAGTAGATAATTGAATTGAAAATTTTCGCAAAGACTTAGTTGAAAAAATTGAGAAGCTTTGTAGGCTCAAGAGGAAGAGAGTGAAGCTTAGGTAGAAAGAAGACCTTACATATAGTTGATTGTATACCACAGGAGTGAATCCAAATTAGCCTGATGAAATAAAACGCAAACTTTTTGCATGCACTTAGCCATCTTTATGTACTTCAAGGAAGCACTAGAAGATTAGGAAGTACTAAAGATACAGATATAACTTTCCTGTCTATTTGTGTGATGTTCTTATCATGCTCTTTCTAAAGTCATTCTGATGGAAGAGTATTTTGTCCACATTTAGAAAAAGCATCAAGAGACAGTTTCTAAACTCTTAGCTTCTTTTCCCTTGGATCACTAATTAATGTGATATTGTTTCCCGAGGTCTTTCTTTCACAGGTTTCTTATGTGACATTTTTAATATGGTGTTTTCAAGCTCATGTAACTAAGGATAAACATTAAGGGATAACATATCTTTTTAGAAAATCATTTACCCCTTTGATCCACAAACTCTTATAAGTTTAAATCAGATGAATGTCACTGTTTACATTTCTTAGTGAGATCAAATATATGCATAACATTTTGGTCATTTATTCTGATCCAATACATTTTCTGCTTTTTTCTAAAGCCCTTCCCTTGTTGAATTTTAGTTTATTAATATAGTGATTAAGAACTCACTAGAAGACACAGGTAAGTGTTGGAGACTTTACAAAAAAATTGTTAAGTTGGCTTGCATAACACTGCAAAGTTTGTTAAAAGAGAATGCAGGTCATTGCACTGCTGGCAAACTTGGGAAGCAAGAGCAGAGGATTTCACCAATATTGCCCTTCAAAGTCCTTATCTAGGTGATCATAAGTGTTCCTCAGGACCATGCTCCTGCTGTTATACATCAAACACCTTCAGACTATGGCCCATCATTCTGACTATTGCAATTATTATTGTATAAGAATGAAAGCAATTCTGGTCTTATTTTCATGTTCTTGCCCAGATTCCACTCTATCCATATAAACACAGACATGTAATGAAACTGTATAATCACGTGGGGTTAAAAATACTCTCTTGTTCAATTTTGCATCTTCATCTTTGCTATTGATTATAAAATATTGAGTATTTTTATCCTGAGACATTCTGTTCTTAGCATACTGGTCACAGAAGGTTATCTTTAAAATCCCCTCTAAATCTCCCAAATTAATGTTCTGTGTAGTGAGCACCTGCCAGCTTTGATACAGTTATGGGATTAGACATTTTTGAATGATTTTTTGACTCTGAAAGTTGTTTGCGTGCTGTTATCAATTCTGGCTGTATTTCAGCTCCAGCATCTTCAATTTCATAAAGGATTTGCTGTGAACCCAATAAATGTTTTCATGTAATTTTATAATTATCATACTTAGAAACTGCCTTTATTAGAGCTTGGCACTTTCTTGCATATAACACTGCTGCTCCTGTAATTGACTGTAACCAAGGCAGTAATAATCCACGATATTTCCTTGAAGGTGAGCTTGGCAACAGAGAGGCTCTTTATTGTAGCTTTTTGTCTTTGATAAACCTATAAGATAAATAAAAGCTTATTTAAATTATGGATATCAAATTAAATGCCATAATGAGACAAAGTTAATTCACCATCCATAAATTGTAACATGCTATGACAATTCCACTAAAGAGGGAACTAAAGCTGATCAGAGAGAAAACATTAAGAAATAGACACTAAGTCAATGACAACAATACCTTGTACATATCTCAAATAATCTGAATATCTTATTTTCATAGAGTTTTTAATCAAGAAGATCTGGCTCATTTTGTAATATAGAAGAATCATTCACCTGAAGACAAATGTTCTCAGAATCAATCCATATAATATTTTCCCAATGAACATTGAATAAATTAAAACAAATATATACTTTATGTTATAAACAAAGAAGCATATATACCTACTTGAAAAGTGTTAAGTAAACTTAGGTGTAAATCAAGAAATTCAGATTACAACATTATTGTTGTTTGAGCATTTTATTTCTTATAAAACTAAAAAAAGACTTTTTTTTTCACTTTAAGTTCTAGGATACATGTACTGAAGGTGCAGGTTTATTACATAGGTATACATGTGCCATGATGGTTTGCTGCACCCATTAACCCGTCATCTAGGTTTTAAGCCTTGCAAGCATTATTTGTCTTAATGTTCTCCCTCCCTTTGCCCCCAGCCCCACGACAGGCCCCAGTGTGTGATGTTCCCCTCCCTGTGTCTATGTGTTCTTATTGTTTAACTCCCACTTATGAGTGAGAATATGCAGTACTTGGTTTTCTGTTCCTGTGTTAGTTGACTGAAGATGATGGTTTCCAGCTTCATCCATGTCCTTGCAAAGGACATGAACTCATTCTTTTTTTATTGTTGCGTAGTATTCCATGGTGTATATATGCCACAGTTTTTTTTATCCAGCCTATCACTGATGGGCATTTGGGTTGGTTCCAAGTCTTTGCTATTGTGAATAATGCTGCAACAAACATGCATGTGCATGTGTCTTTATATTAGAATTATTTATAATCCTTTGGGTATATACCCAGTAATGGGATTCCTGGGTCAAATGGTGTTTCTGGTTCTAGATCCTGGAGGAATTGCCACTCTCTCTTCCACAATGGTTGAACTAATTTACACTCCCACCAACAGTGTAAAAATGTTCATATTTCTTCACATTCTTGCCAGCATCTGTTGTTTCCAGACTTTTTAATGATCACCGTTCTAACTGGCATGAGATAGTATCTCATTGTGGTTTTGATTTGCATTTCTCTAATGACAGTGACGATGAGCTTTTTTTCAAGTTTTTTGGCCACATAAATGTCTTCTTTTGAGAAGTGCCTGTTCATATCCTTTGCCCACTTTTTGATGGGGTTGTTTGTTTTTTTCTTGTAAATTTGTTTAAGTTCCTTGTAGATTCTGGATATTAGACCTTTGTCAGATGGAGAGATTGCAAAACTTTTCTCCCATTCTGTAGGTTGCCTGTTCACTCTGATGATAGTTTCTTTTGCTGAGAAGCTCTTTAGTTTAATTTGATCCCATTTGTCAATTTTGGTCTTTGTTGCAATTGCTTTTGGTGTTTTAGTTATGAAGTCTTTGTCCATGCCTATGTCCTGAATGTTGTTGCCTAGGTTTTCTTCTACAGTTTTTATGGTTTTAGGTTTTATGTTTAAGTCTTTAATCCATCTTGAGTTAATTTTGTATAAGGTATAAGGAAGGGGTCCAGTTTCTGTTTTCTGCACATAGCCAGCCAGTTTTTCCAGCACCATTGATTAAATATGGAATCCTTTCCCCATTGCTTGTTTTTGTCAGGCTTGTCGAATATCAGATGGTTGTAGATGTGTGGTGTTATTTCTGAGGCCTCTGTTCTGTTGGTCTACATATCTGTTTTGGTACCAGTACCATTCCAGGGACCTCCCTCCCCCAGCCAAGGGAAATCATGAGGGACTGTGCTATCCAGTCCAGATACTATGCTTCTCCCATGGTTTTTGCAATCCACAGACCAGGAGATTACCTTGTGTGCTGACACCATCTATACATATTTCATACTCATTTTTCAGAGCAGACGGCAACATCAGACAGAAGGTGTTAATTGCCTATCTCACATTTCCATTAAACTTAGTGGGACTAATTTCCTCCAATTTGCCTTTTGCAAGGTTCCTGTCACCTTTAACTTATAACAAAAAGTTTGCTTTTTCAATTAGGAATACTGAATTCTCCTTCTCAAAACTGTCATCTGCAATTGAAATTAATATTTATCCAGCAGTTCAATAAGTGATTAGAATTTAATAATAAATAATGTCTTTGCCTTAAGTAAGTTATTTTGAAGAAAAATGACTAAGACAATAAGTAAACTGGTGATTGTGATGTGACTGTGATTGAAAAGTATGATTGGGGTGGTGGGAATAGATAATATGATGCTATGAGTGCATAAGGGATATATTTTTAACACAAGGTTAGTAAAAGTCAGGGGAAGGTTACTAAAGATGTGAGGCCTTCACTACATTTTGTAGTAAGAGGCCAGGAAATGAGGGCCATCTGGACTAACAAAACATGTAAAAGATGTAAAGGCCAGTAAGATTAGAGCACATTTGTGCAACAGGGTAGTTAGTAGATAGCTGTACCTTTCATTGTGATAGGAATTAATACATTGTACTAGTACATTTACTTAAAATCAATAAGCTTGAAAATACTTAAAATGGGGACTCATTGAGCCTCAAATCCCATAATGCTACATTCGAACTAAGGAAAAGAATAGCAGAAAAGTTATACCTATCACCAACTGAAATATTTAAATTAATCAAATCTATATGTGTTATTACTCTCCACTCACATTAACTTATTTTCTGTCCTCTATGAAATAGCCAGCTCAATCTTATACTCATTTCCCTCTTGCTGTTCCTTTCCAATATCTACCTAGTAAACAATTGCCACTTCTTTTTGAAGATGCATATATAATATATTTTCTAGACTCTATCTCATTTTTTAGCTTTTAACTCTCAGAGATGAGTGCTTTGTTTATTCTCTTTCTCCATGTCTTTTTCCCTTACCAAGTATAAAAGGATAGGATTTATAATCATGCTGCTGTCACATAGGCATTAAGCTAGGCACTGAGGGTACAGAGTAGAATATTTTGAAAAACTTTACTTTTTTACACCTCCAAACATGAGGTATAAAGTGAGGAATATATTCAAATCACTGAAGGAGCCTTAAGAAAGTCTATTAAAATTTTTTTAATTTTTATTTTGAGCTTTAAAAATTCTTATGCTTGGAGTTCCCTGCTTATAAAAGCCTGTTAAGCTAATGAGGTGGGAATTTGAAAAAATAATCCAAATTATGTTCATGTACACTCATTTATTTAAGACTGTTCCACACTTTTAGAGCCACGGTTTCTGCATTGCACATGTATTTGTGGAGCCATGCTCAAAGGGTCATAAATTTAGATGGTAAATAATAGGTAGAAATGACAATTTGGAGTAAACATTTAAAGGTCACAATCTAACATTTATTTTTGGATTAGCATGTAGTAAGAAGTCACTGGAAGTCTGTGAAGAAAGAGGTAACTTGAATCACCAATTTCAATATGGTTGTAAAATATGATAAGCAAAGGGAAGCTGAACCTTTGAAAACTTTAAAGACAGAGACAACGATAACCCTCAACTAGCAAAAAAAAAAAAAAAAAAAAAAAAAAATCTATCAATTAAAGAGCTATAAATATCATAGCAGGTCTATGAAAACAGCATGAGATAATACCTAAATTCCAAAAAGGTTTCAATTTTAATCCCAGGACTTTCATTTATATGAGGTGTTACTATGTACAACTTAGGTTAATACTATGAGCTTGCTTTCTAATATATAAAACATATTCAGTATATTGCATAGTTAATACTACTATGAGGTCACGTATATTCAAGAAATGGGGGGAGCTTTATTATTATTTTGTTTTCGGTATTGTTAGTAATAATAATAATGGGACCTACTAAGAACTATGGAAAATATAAAAGTCATGAACTTTGTGCATTATTTTACACTTAAAGTCTACTGTAAAGACAACACAAATAAAACATCCAACCCCAATTAAAAATATGTGCCAATAAGTGACGTCGTAATGGTTCCTACTTGCACATAGGCCATATCTTATACATTGATTTTTCTCTATTAACTGTAGCAATCTGAAAAGGGAGCATTTCCTCCATTCTACAGGGGAGAAAATTGAAATTCAGAGCGATAAAGCATTGTGCATAAGGCCACACAACTATGCTGGGAGTCTAGGATTTGAACAGAGACCATCTGCCTTCACAGCCCACTCCTTTCCATTATAATGCATGACTAAAATAATGATTTTGTTGAAATATTACTCTTTAATGTCTTCTCTATTCTCACCTAAGTTAAAGTTCTATTTCCTTTTACATTTGCTATAGCAAAACACTTTTAAATGATTCCACATCTTTAATTTTCTCTTCATTCAGTTCTTTCTGCACCTAGTTGAGTAACCATTAAATGCCTGGCACTGCCATAGGCACTGGAAATACATAAATTAATTTGTTCCTGCAGTCTTATAATAGAGGAGTCATTTGACTATCAGTGACAGATAGGGACAAATATTTGGATATGAGAGGGTGATAAGTTTGATAAATAAGAATTTAACAGGTTAAGGGGATTGAAAGTTATAAAAGAGTTATAACGGGTTGTGTAGTTACACTAAAGTTTGGTAGTAATAGAGCAGTGTGACCAAAGCACTATTTTAGAGAGAGAGACAGGTGATAATGATGGAGAGATAGTAGAGACTAGACAGAAGGCCTTAAAGACCAGATAGTAGAGACTAGACAGAAGGCCTTAAAGACCAGAATGAGAATTACGGCTTTTCCTCTAAGTGAGACGAGAAACTAGTACAAAGTAATAATTAGAAAAGTGACATGATCTGGCCTCTGTTTTAGCAAAGTCACCGTGTCTCTTCTGTTCTCATTCAAAACACAGCTGATTATGTTTTCAAGGCAGAGCATCAATCTGACTACTTGCTCGCTTGTAAGCCCATAGTGTCTCATCCTCACATCCCCAAAGGCTTTAGTTTCTATTTAGAAGTAGCAACGGTGGTGGTGGTAGTAGTTGTAGTAGTAGATGTATTACATCATTGTAATAACAGTCTCTTCATGAGTTCTAACCCTATGGTTCTCTCGATTTATAGAATACTCGTTCTTTCATAAATGTTTTTCTTCTAAAGAATCTTTATTTCTAATGGAATATCCATTTACATCTCAACAGATAATTGATGTTCCAGAAAATAGTTTTGAAAATTATATTCTACAGAATTGATGTAAAATTCTCTAGTGTACAAGTCACATTTTAAAAATTTATTCATGCCACATTTTTTCTCTTTGTGAATGGTCTTTTTTTAAACTCAGTTTCCATAACTAAATTATATCAGTTATTCAAGACTTGTTCAAATCTTACTCTCTCTTGAAAGTCTTTCTTGATTTTACTTTATGAAAAGAATCACTTTCTCGTGTGATCTTCTATTGATGTTGATTCATATCTTTCTTACAGCACTTATATACTATATTCTGTTCTACTCTATGTATGCATTAACCATTTCTTATTTCTAGTGCAAGGATCTGTGTGGGAATTATCTGTGCCTAATTTATCTTTATGTCTAACATAGTGTCTTAAACACAGTAGAAAATAAAGGACTATGTCAACAGTTTATTCTTAATTTGGCCATATCTATTCTGATTACATGTATCATTTATTTCTATGATTCAGTTATAACATCTTTTAAGTAACAACACATTTTTATCCCTTTAATATGACCCCCGATGTGTCTCAGGCAGACTTCTGTAACATTTTCCTTCAGGTCTTCAAGTTTATTGACTGAATGGTTGATTAACCCCACAGGTTGGAGAAATTTGCCATTGGGTTAAAAGATTTAAATCATCCCTAGAGCTCAGTTCTGAAAAAACAGATTTCTTAGTTTCATAGTGTTTGTGAAATGTCATGTGCACTGACTACAGAAAGAGAGATAGTGAGGCCAGGCTCAAGGACATTCTCCAGTGGCTCTCTAAAAAGCTGAGAGTCTGCAATTGGAGTCAGAAACTTTAATCTCTGCTATCACAGTTTTTATTGCTCTGGCATGTTTGGATACACTCCAGAGGGAACTGTCATCCTATCTTGCTTATTCCACAGGTGGGAAATAGGCTTGTAGAGGATGTTGAAGTAAGAGGAAGAGATGAAATATAATCTCCATTTCATTTAGTCTTAGCAGATTGTCTGAAGTATGAAGGTGTAATATCCTGGTAACCAATTATGAAAATATAAGTGAGTTGAAAAAAACAATTAATTATAGCATATAAACATATTTTAGCTTTGATATTTTTAAGTGTTACTTATACAAATTAGTACTGTGTACCAAATAAGCTAGATAGAAATCTAAAATCAAAGTAATATGTTTTCATAAAACTCTACATTTAATAATTTAAAAAATACCCTACATTTCAATAATGAAGATTCTGCCAAGTAGCTAATAAATATTAGATAAATGACATGGAAAATGCCAATGCATGGCTTAGACAGACTAAGGACAAATCATTTTAAGTTCAAACATTATTTTGCTTTTTAAATTATATATTTTTATAATCTTACTATTTGCTCATCAATTGCTATACATCTATGCTTGGCACTTTAATACTTGTCTGCTGCGTAAAACCCTGAGACTTGTTTGAGATTCAGCCAAATAAACACTAAATAATTCACTCTCAGGCTTCCTGCAGCTTGGAAGAAGTAAAAAACTAGAACAAGAGACTAACAGACATAAATTAAGGAGAAAATGAGAAATTCAAGTTTCACTCTAGAGCGCAGGTATAAGAGCACAGATAAAATAAGAAATGTATTCAAAGCCATACAGAACAAGGAGAGAAGGATGAAATTTTTGTTCAAGTAGTAAAATAATAACATATTTTAATAATGTTAGTCTGTGAAAATATTATCAGTGACAAGTTTTCTCTTAAAATCACTTGAGCTTACAAGTCCAGGAAGACAAAAGTAAGAGTTTTGTGCAATATAAGAACCATAACTCTGTTATTTAAAAATATAATGCAAATGTCTTAATGATCTGTGAATCAGGAAGAAAAGAGAGAAGGTATTTAATTTGATAGAAGTAAGATTAGCAAGAAATAATTTTGCTGGCGTTACACTGGGAAATGATTAGCTGGGACATAAGCCAGAAAGTAACTGGAATCTTAAAACACCTTTTTTTTTTTTTATTTTTCTTCTTTTTTTTCTTCTTCTTCTTTTTTTTCTTTTTCTTCTTTTTCTTTCTTTTTAAGAGATGAAGGCAAGTTTGTAAATCTCCTTGAATAATTAACGTTGGGCTTCTTTATCTGATCTGTGATGATGCTTCATCTTGAACTTATTTATGCTAATCAGATAAAGTCTTTTTAATTTAGTTTTCTGATATCTTGCTATTTATAATTCATTAAACTATTGCTTTGTAAATATTAACTTTTTTGAAAACTGTAGAAAATAGGAATAATTCTTTTCTCATAATAAAACTCATTGACTGCTGTTTTTATTCTTATTCATACTGATGCCTTTCATTTTTGGAAAAAAGCAAGCTAAATAAATATATAAATAAAGTACCAGTGTGTCTTGGGATAAAATTGGAAGAATAAAAGGTAACTGAGTGCCCCATCTTTGCTTGTATCTTGAATGAAATGGAAATTTCTCACATTTATCATTGTAATTTAGGGTACTAAATGATACTTTGGTATGTCCAATGGAAACTTTTAATAATATAGCTTTTCTTTTAAATATTATGGTTCAGAATTTTGTGTCTGCTTCTAGAAAGATAGGATAACATCCATATGCCCTCCTCTCGTTATGGTTTATACTCCTAATTTAAAAGGAAACAAAAATAAAAAAGGAAAAGGGAATTTTTTTTTGTATTTTTCTAAATCTGAAAGTATTCAATAACAGTTATTTCTTTTAATTTTGAAACACATTTTCAAACTAAAATTATAAGTAAGGGAGCATGAGGCAGAGCAAGATGGGTAAATAGAAGCATTCACCAATCATTCTTCCAACAGAAACATCAGATTTAACAACTGTCCACACAAAAACGCATCTTCACAAGAACCACAAATCAGGTGAGCAACCACAATACCTGGTTTTATCTTCATATCACAGAAAGAGGCATTGAAGACATTAGTAAAGATAGCGTAAAATTACCAATGCCACCTTTTCCCCATCTCCTGGTAGTGGCCTCAAGGTGTGGAGAGAGGATCTGTGTACTTGGTGAGGGAGAATGCAGTGATTGTAAGAGTTCACATTGGAACTCAGTGCTGCTGTGTCACAGTGGAAACAAACAGAGGGCAGAATTCAGCCTGCATGCATGGAAGGAGCATTTACACCAGCCCTCGCCACAGGGGAATCACCCACTCCAACAGTCAGAATCTGAGTTCTGGCAAGCCCTGCTACCACAGGCTAAAGTGCTGTGGGGTTCTAAATAAACTTGAAAGGCAGTCTAGGCCACAAGGACTGCAATCCCTGGGCACATCCTGGTGCTGTGCTGGGCTTGAAGTGAAATTGGGAGCATGTGATCTAGTGAGGCACCAACCCCAGTGAAACTGGGGGCATATGACCTAGTGAGACACCAGCTGGAGCAGCCAAGGGAGTACCTGCCTTACCCCTCACCCAACACCAAGAACCATAGCTTGCAGCTCCAGTAAAGACTCCTTCTCTTCGCTTGAGAGGAGAGAAAAGAGGATTTTGTCTTGTGACTTGGATATCAGTTCAGCCACAGTAGGATAGGGTACCACACAGAAGTTCTGAATCCTCCATTCTATGCCCTAACTCCTTGATGACACCTGTAGACACATCCTGGGCCAGAAGGGAACTCACTGCCTTGAAGGGAAGGACCCAGTCCTGGCAGGATTTAGCTCCTGCTAACTGAAGAGCCCTTGGGCCTTGAATAAACAGCAGCAATACCCAGGCAGTACTCGCTGTGAGTCTTGGGTGAAAGTCAGAGATGTGGTGGCTTCAGGTGTGATCCAGCACATTTCCAGCGCTGGTGGCTACAAAGACAGATTTCTTTAGTTTTAGAAAAGTTGAAGGAAGAGTAAAGGAGACTTTGTCTTGGAGCTTAGGTACCAGGTCAATCACAGTGAGGTAGAGTACTGAACTGGCCCTCAGGATCCCTGATTCTAGGCCTTGTCTCTTGGACAGCATTTCTGGACCTACCTTGGGCCAGAGGGAAGACCACTGCCCTAAAGAGAGAGTCCCAGGCCTTCACAGCATTCACCACAAGCTGATTTAAAAGCTCCTTGGGCATTGAATATTAACCATAGCCAGGGCCTAAGGTAGTGTGGCCTCAGAGAGAGATTCTACCTGCGGAAAGAGGAGGAAACAGTGGGCAAGACTTTGTCTTACGGTTTGGGTGCCAACTTAGCCACAGAATAGAGCACAGGTAGATTCTTAAGGTTTCTGACATTAGGTGCAGGCTACTGGGCAGCATGTCTGAACCCACTCAGTGACAGCGGGAACTTGCTAGCTGGCTTTGCTATTTGCTCATTGTAGAGCCCTAGAACCATGAGTAAACAGAGGTGGTAGGAGGGCAGTGCTTACCGTTGGCCTTGGGCAAGACCCAGTACCATGCTGGTGTCATGTCTGACTCAGTACAGTCCTATAGTGGTGGCCACAGAGGTACTTGTTTCACCTTTCTGCCAGCTCCAGGAAGCTGAATACAGAGAGTGAGACTCCATTTGTTTGGGAGAAAGAAAGGGAAGAGAACAAGAGTCTGATAATGGAGAGAATTCTTCTGGATCTTATCCAAGACTGCCAAGCTAGTACCTCGATGAATTTGTAAGAGCCAGTGTTACAGGGTTTGGGGTACCCCCTCATGCAGACAGAGGGGCAGTGACCAAAAACTTAGTTAACAGCACCCAAGTTCCTTTGAATAGCTGGAAGTTTTCCCAAAAAGGATGGGTACAAACAACCTAAGACTGCAAGGATTATAATAGATACCTAACATTTCAATACCCAGACATTGACAAATATTCATAAGCATCAACACCATCCAGGAAAACAAAACATCACACACACACACACACACAAAAAAAAACCTAAATAAGTCATTAGGGAATAATCCTAGAGAGACTGATATATGTGACTTCTCAGACAGAAAATTAAAAATAGTTATTTTGTGGAAATTCAACAAAATTTAACATGACAGAGAGAAGGAATTCAAAATCTTATCGGATAAATTTAGCAAAGAGATTAAAATATTTAAAAAGAATCAAGGGGATCTTCCACCATGATTGTGAGGCTTCCCCAGCCACGTGGAACTGTAAGTCCATTAAATCTCGTTCTTTTGTAAATTGCCCAGTCTCATGTATGTCTTTAACAGAAGCATGAAAATGGGCTAATACACTGTAGAATAGTATATCTGACAAAAATATCCTTCAAACATGAAGGAGAAATAAAGAATTTCCCAGCCAAACAAAAGCTGAGAGACTTCAACATCAGACCTATCCTACAAGAAATACGTAAGGGTGTTAATTCCTCAATCTGAAAGAAAAATCACGTTAATGAGCAATAAGAAATCATCCCAAAATACAAAACTCACTGGTAATACTTAGGACACAGAAAAACACAGATTATTATAACATTGTAATTGTGGTGTATGAATTACTCATATATTAAGAGGAAAGGCAAAAGGATAAACTGATCAAAAATAATAACAACAACAACTTTTCAAGACATAAACATTATAAGAAGATATAAATACAAACAACAAAAAGTTTAAAAACAGGGGAACAAAGTTAAAGTGTAAGCTTTTATTAGTTTTCTGTTTGCTTTTTGGTTTGTTTATGCAATTAATCTTAAGTTGTCATCAGTTCAAAATAATGGGTTATATGATTATTTGTGGTGGATCCGGCAAGATGGCTGAATAGGAACAGCTCTGTTGTGCAGCTCTCAGCAAGACCAATGCAGAAGGAGGATGATTTCTGCATTTCCAACTGAGGTACTCAGTTAATCTCATTGAGACTGGTGAGACAGTGGGTGCAGCCCACAAGGGGTGAGCAGAAGCAGAACTTGAAATTCTTGCTGCCAGCACAGCAGTCTGAAGTCAACCTGGGACACTCAAGCTTGGTGTGGGGAGGGAGGGATCACCCATTACTGAGGCTTGGGTAGGCAGATTTACCCTCACAGTGTAAACAAAACTGCCAGGAAATTTAGACTGAGTGGAACCACCATAGCTGCGGCAAAGCCACTGTAGCCAGACTGCACCTCTAGATTCCTCCTCTCTGGGTAGTACATCCATGAAACAAAGGCAGCAGCCCCAGTCAGGAGCTTATAGATAAAACTTCCATCTCCCTAGGACAGAGCACTTGGAGAAAGAGGCAGCTGTGGGAGCAGTTTCAGCAGACTTAAATGTCCCTGCCTGCTGGCTCTGAAGAGAGCAGCAGATCTCCCAGCACAGCGCTCGAGCTCTGCTAAGGGATAGACTGCCTTCTCAAGTGGGTCCCTGATGCCCATGCCTCCTGACTGGGAGACACCTCCCAGTAGGGGTCGACAGACACCTCATACAGGAGAGCTCCAGTTGGTGGATGCCCCTCTGGGACAAAGCTTCCAGAGGAAGGAGCAAGCAGCAATCTTTGTGGATCTGCAGCCTCCGCTGGTGATACCCAGGAAAAAAGGATCTGGAGTAGATCTCCAGCAAACTCCAGACCTGGAGAAGAGGGCCCTAACTGCTAAAAGGGAAAGTAACAAACAGAAAGCAATAACATCAACATCAACAAAAAGGACACCCTTGCAAAAACCCCATCCAAAGCTCATCAGCATCAAAGATCACAGGTAGATAAATCCATGAAGATGAGGAAAAACCAGCAGAAAAATGCTGAAAATTCCAAAAACCAGAATGCCTCTTCTCCTCCAAAAAATCACAACTCCTTGCTAGAAAGGAAATGAAACTGGACAGAGAATGACTTTGACAAATTGACAGAAGTAGGCTTCAGAAGATAGGCAATAAGAAACTCCTCTGGGCTAAAGGAGAATGTTCCAACCCAATGCAAGGAAGCTAAGAATCTTGTTAAAAGATTACTGCTAACTAGAATAACCAGCTTAGAGAAGAACATAAATGACCTGATGGAGCTAAAAACACAGCATGAGAACTTTGTGAAGAGCAGACCTAATAGACGTCTACAGAACTCTCCATCCAAAATCAACAGAATATATATTCTTCTGAGCACCACATAGCACTTATTCTAAAATCGACTACATAATTGGAAGTAAACACTCTTCAGCAAATGCAAGAGAACAGAAACCATAACAAACAGTCTCTCAGACTATAGTGCAATCAAATTAGAACTCAAGAGTAAGAATCTCACTCAAAACCACACAAGTACATGGAAACTGAACAACCTGCTCCTAAATGACTATGGGGTAAATAATGAAATTAAGGCAGAAATAACAAAGTTGTTTAAAACTAATGAGAACAAAGACACAATGTACCAGAATCTCTATGACACAGCTAAAGCAGTGTTTAGAGGGAAATTTATAGCACTAAGTGCCCACATCAGAAAGTGGAAAAGATCTAAAATAGAAACACTAACATCACAATTAAGAGAACTAGAGAAGCAAGAACAAACAAAATCAAAAGCTAACAGAAGACAAGAAATAACTAAGATCAGAGCAGAAGTGAAGGAGATAGCGACATGAAAAACCCTTCACAAAATCACTGACTCCAGGAACTGATATTTTGAAAAGATTAACAAAATAGATAGACTGCTAGCCAAACTAATAAAGAAGAAAAGAGAGAAGAATCAAATGGACACAATGAAAAATGATAAAGGAGATATCACAACTGGTCCCACAGTAATACAAACTACCATCAAAGAATACTATAAACACCTCTATGCAAATAAACTATAAAATCTAGAAGAAATGGATAATTTCCTGGACACATAAACCCTCCCAAGACTAAACCAGGAAGAAGTCGAATCCCTGAATAGACCAATAACAACTTCTGAAATTGAGGCAATAATTAATAGCCTACCAACCAAAAAAAGCCCACACCAGATGGATTCACAGCCAAATTCTACCACAGGCACAAAGAGGAGCTGGTACCATTCCTTCTGAAACTATTCCAAACAATAGAAAAAGAGGGACTCCTCCTTATCCCATTTTATGAGGCCAGCATCATCCTGATACCAAAACCTTCCAGAGACACAACCAAAAAAGAAAATTTCAGGCCAATATCCTTAATCAACATCGATGTAAAAATCCTCAATAAAATACTGGCAAGCCA